CTTTCCACAGGGCCTCAGACTCAATACAGTGTCCTACATCAAGGGCTTGAAGAGGTAGTTCTACCCTGGGGTCAAGAGAGTGAATGCTGGAAGATCCTATGTCTGGCGAAAGGAATTTGCACCATGCCACACAAGCAGGAGAACCCAGTCATGGCTGTGAGACAATTTCTGTGACCACATCGCATTTGGCTACCTAACACCCCAGACTGAAAGCACCGTGGTTAATATGTGTGGGGCGCAATTGAGTGAGTGATCAAGAAAACACCTTGTAATAGCAAAGATGAACAGAAAGCAATGATTATGGCAGCATTCAACGACTTGAACGACAGGGAGAACTTCCAGGAGAGTTGCAGGAGATTCGGAAGTCGTCTGGTGGCCGACGATTTTATTGAATAAATTTACTCTTTAGTATTTCAAGATATTTTTGTGTAATTTTGATAAATATATCTGTTAAAAACGAGATGTCAGTGCTATTTTCATTTTTGCGTCATTTTAACGACAGCTTATCCATCACACCTTGTATATCTGTTAAAAAGGAAATGTCAGTGTCATTTTCACTACTGCACCATTTAGACGACAATTTTACCATCGCACCCTGTATATCTATTAAAATGGGATGCCAGTGTTATTTTCACTTTTGCGTCATTTTAACGACAATTTATCCATCGCACCCTGTATATCTGTTAAAATCAGACGTCAGTGTTATTTTCACTTTTGCGTCATTTTAACGACAATTTATCCATCGCACCCTGTATATCTGTTAAAATCAGACGTCAGTGTCATTTTCATTTTTGCGGCATTTTAACGACAATTTATCCATCGCACCCTGTATATCTGTTAAAATCAGATGTCAGTGTCATTTTCATTTTGGCCTCATTTAGACGAAAATTTATCCATCGCACACTGTATATGCACATCTTACTCTCTCCTTCTGCGTGACAATATTTATAACAATCTCACTCAATAGCCCTTTACCGTGAGTCGCTCTTGGGGCTTGTAGGGCGTTAACTAAGAGCATTAAAAATAAGAGAAAGCAAGACGACAATGCCACAAAAACCACTAACACTTAGAGGTTGACAAGGGAGCGAATGAGAATTAGAATATTGAAAATGAGGAGGGTGCGGAAATGGCAAAAAAATAAGAACAGGCTTCAAGAAGACAGAAGATGGCGGTTATGCTGCATTTCAATTTTTGAAGATTGAAATTATCAGAGAGGTAACAATTCGGAAGGTAGTTCCACAGGTGGGAAGTGCGAGAAAAAAACTATTAGAACAGAAGAGACACTTGTATCTAGCTAGTTCAACAGTAAAACCTAGTAACATGCTTAAATTCATATAGTGGGGACACCAGGTAAAAAAATGTTCATCTGAAAATTTGCCATGACAATATCTGTAGAACAGACAGAAGGAAGCCACGTCACATCGGTGAGAAAGTGACTGGAGATGAGATGCTTGGTCAGGGTTTATTGTTTTGCTGGCCCTTCGTCAAGGACCTCGAGATGCATAGTAAGAGCACCAGATCAGTATTCAAAGCACGGATAAATGGTACATTTATAAATGTAGGTGAAGGAAGAGATATAAATGTAAATGTGGATTCTTATTATGCATTGCCAATATAGCATATATATATATATATATATATATATATATATATATATATATATATATAGGAAGAATTTGGATTACTAACCATACACAAAAACAATAACTAAACATGAAAAAACATAAACAAAAACTTATTTTCTTTAAGTAATATTAGAAATAACCATTCTGCGTCTGATGAAGGTCACAAAACCCGAAACCCGTGTAGCAAAAATATGGAAAATAAACTTATATTAAAAAAATCAACGTCATAACCAAAAACGTTTGCGGCTTGTCTTTTCTCTTTAAAATATGCGCTCTTCTCTCGTTGAAACATCTACAATCTCTCTCATATATATATATATATATATATATATATATAGGCAACTACAATCGTCTCGGAAAACCTTCGGTTTCTTGATTTGCTAATGATCAAATCAATTTCGAAGGAAAAAAAAGGTTTTAAAAAAAGAAAGAGCTAGGAACATGAATGTCTGTCGCAAATAATCCTACAGCATACAGCTCCAAAGCCCAAAGAAAAAAAAAACGATACAATCAACTAACTAAAAAAGTGCTCAATACAAAAAAGTAGAGCAGACCTAGTCAAACCTAGAGAATAAATCCAGACAAATCTACCAAGGTTTCATTTAAGCGGATCGTCAGGGAAAGCCAGCTTTCCTGACGATCCGCTCAGATGAAAAACCTTGGTAGGTTTGTCTGGCTCAAAACTTAACTATCTATCTATCTATCTATCTATATATATATATATATATATATATATATATATATATATATATATCTGTGTCTCTGTGTGTGTCTGTTCTTGTGAGTATATATATATATATATATATATATATATATATATATATATATATACACTATATATATATATATATATATATACACTCCTAGTATTTTTGGTCGGAAGTGCTTCTTGCAAGACAATCAAATAAAGCAGGTGTTTAACTGAGACGAAAGACGCTTTCCCAGGAATCACGCCATAGCAGCAACAGTAGCAGCCCGCGGTAGCAACAGGCGCAAAGTAGCAGAACCTTCGTGGAGTGATGTAATCAACAAAAACACCTTTTCTTTGTCATTTGTTTTTATAAATCAAAACAGAAAACTTTTAGTTCGTTTCAAAAACAGAGTATATTGTGGGTTGCTTTTTATTTATTTATTTTTTGTTTTTTTTAGTGATTTTCTTTTGAAAACTAATTAAAACATAACACTTCCTTCAGATATTTATCGTGAGGTAAAAAAGAAAAAGAAAAATTTCGTTACGAACAATTTCCTTCTAGATTAAGAAAAGGCTTGAAGCAACAGATATGTGATTCTACTAAAAGATTCTGGGAATAACATGGAGTTAACATGATACAAACAAGGATGTTTTTAAGAATAATGGCACTTCATTTTAATACAAGAAAGAGCGAGATTAAATTTCTATGACACAAATAAGCTCTTCGCTATGAGCCCTAGCCTTTTTTGAATTTAAGCGCAATACTAGACTGGCTTCAAGATCTCAACGATTTACAGTTGAGCTGGAAAGATATAGCCGTAAGTTCTATGCTAACAGTTTCTTCTCTCGCACGTCTCGCTTGTGTAACTCCCTTCCGGCGTCATGCTTTCCAGCCAACATTAATTTGCAAAAAATTAAATGCAATGTCAATCGCTATCTACTGTTCTCCTGATTACTCTTTCCTCTTCCCGCTCATCATTAATGTTTCTGTTCTCAATTCCCCCACACCCTGTAACCCCTTGTGTCTTAGTGGCTTTGCCGCCTTCCAATGATGATACAGATTAAAAATAAAATAATTAAGAATAATACGGAATTTAGCTTCCCTGTGTCTTTTCTATAAATAATTTCATGGTAATTATTCGGATGAGCTCTTCGCTATGGTACCTAGACTTTTTGAATTTAATCACAGTACTAGACTGGCGTCGAGATCTCATCAATTTATAGTTGAGCTGGCTAGATCTAGCCCTAAGTTCTATGCTGTGTCTTTTCTCGTACTTCTCGCTTGTGGAACTCCCTTCCGGCTCCATGCATTCGAATCAACTTTAATCTGCAAAAATCTAAATGCAATGTCAATCGCTATCTACTTTCCTCCTGGTTACTCCTACCTCTTCCCGCTCGTTATCAATGTTTCTGATGTAATGGAATAACCTGCCACCCCCATGAGTAGCGGCACTATAGGTAGTAGTCACCTATAAGTATCCGTTAGGACAGCGGACAGCAGAGCTTTCCCAGCTGAGCTAGTCGAACTCTCTGCCTTCGGGCAGAGAGGAACCCGGACGAGGCTATGCCGAAGGGCAGAGTCTCGTCCGGGGAGGCAAACAGCCCCGATCCCGTTTATTCGGGGTCTACGAGGATTTTTTGGCGGAGCCTACGGGCTCGGGAACCCCACATTAAATTCGGCCTTGTGCCACATGTGACTGCGTGGGGCAGTTGCGTCAAGCTGGGATCTGCGAGAACTAGCCGACTTCCGATAGCAGCACGCACACAACTCTAATGACTTGCGACGACCGTGCGCATAACTATTATTTCCTTGCTTGTTGTACTGTTTTCTACAATAAACCTGTTACTATTTATCCACCGTGTTTGTCCAAATCCATATTCCTATTAGCATGGAATATAACAGTTTCTGTTTCTAATTCCTAATCACCCTGTATCCTCTTGTGTCTTAGAGCCTTTATTGCCTTGCTTGTGGGGATACCGATTAAAAGAGAAAGAAAACATAATTATTAAAGCTGGCTTGGAGAATTTGACACTCACGGGGTACATTAAAGACAAAAAGGGTGAACGAGAACAGAAAGTAACCTACCTTAGCTTAACGGAGAGTAGAACGAAAATAAAGGACATGCGTTGCTAAGAGGTACAAAAGGATAGGAAGTTGTGGGGAGCCGTGATCGTACACCTCCTGAAGGGATACGGCATATAAAGGAAGTAATTACAAAGTTCTATTTTTTTACGTAAGCTTAGTGGATAAGTTACTTTCGTATTTTCCGTCAATACCTGTGTTCGATCCTGGACTGGAAACCAACACTGAAATAATGTGAGCTTTCTAACCAGGTTTTCCCTACATAAATCCATGAAGAGAAAATATATAATTTTTAATACTTTATAGACATCAATGTCAGCAGTAACCCATGCAAAATTAGTGTCGCTTTGTCACGGTATCCTTTGGTAGATGGCTGAAGTCACGTGGTTCTACCAGTTACGTCTTTGTATTAATGGTGGTCGTCGCAATTGCTTGACAGGGTGTTTAACGACCGTTGCTTTCTTCTGAAGTGGACCAAGATGGCTGTGACATTTACATTCGTTTCCACTGTTTCTTGCTGAAAATCAGATATCTTTTAAAACAGTACAACGCATATAGTCAGAATGGACTGCTTTTATTGCCCCTTGTAGGAAAATTCTACAACTTCGCAGTGAAAGAGAGAGATAGAGAGAGAGAGAGAGAGAGAGAGGAGACTGAGAGATAGGCACAGAGAGAGAGAGAGTAGCATCTTTCGATACACCTTCGGATTTCCGTGTTGCATTTTCTGTCCTCCGGTAAAACACTTCCTAGATATTTAAATTCCAACTCGTTATGTAATAAATTATCTTTTTTAAGCATGGCTACTTCCAGTGTAAACGCTTCAATCTGAACGCATTTTTCTTTGCTTTTTACACATAATGTTAGAATAATTTTCTAAATCTCGCTAAGAATTATTTTCCTTATCCCATGAATCATTTTGTTCAGCGTAATCCCGCGGATAAATTCGCATCTCGCAAGTTGTATTGCTCTGGCTGCTGACAAGAGACTGTAACACCAAGTCATGCGATTCTCTCGATTTCTTTCTTTCTCTAACGAAGAATTAAAAATCGGGTTAATAAAGTACGCAGCTAATTGTAAATAACAGATTTACACCTTAAGAAGACGAATGCATGATTCGGGCAAACAGTTATATAAAAAAATGCAGGTGAGAAAATAGCAGTTTCATTAGAATTCTGAATATCAAAATTAAACAATTTAAATTTCAAAATATAGCCGGGGTTTTTCATCTCTTACCAGATAAAAAGAAGTTCTATCTAATGCTTCATTTCACCTCAAGAAAGGTGATAAAGTCACTAGGACGTAAGGACTTACTGGAAGTGAAGAGAATGAGAAAACCTTCCTGGCAAGAATCAGTTCTGCTGGTGATATCTTCGATGCAATATTAGGGTTAGGGGTCAACCTATACATTCTTAAATTCTGCTGGAACATTACTTCTCCCTTAACGCCCTTTTGAACTGTTATGGTCCGGTTCCTTGTACCACGGTGATAGTCTAAGGTAGAACCAATAAAGAAGAACTCGAACACAGGTATGGAATAACACAGATATATTACAAACAGGAATATATACACAGAAGTAGAAGTGTTAGTATGAACAATCAGGTTTAGTAGAGAGAACAATGTAGTCTCGACCAGTATCACTATTCCAATGTCTTGCAGTACTTGTCTGAACGCGACTCTGTTTCAGACTGCCTCTGACTCGACTCTTGACTCGACTTGAACTACAGACTCCTCTTGAACTACTAACTCGCGCCTACCGCCAATATTTTTTCTTTTCTTTCCGGCTTATCAACCTCAATGGGTTATTTAATGTCGACAAGATTTTTTTGTTGCTAATATTTTTTCCCAAAAATGTATTGCTGGTAATAATTTTTTTTTTCTTCAAACATTCATACCTTTTACAAAAATGTATTGCTGGTATTAAAAACCTATTTTTACACTTTCATAGTGTTTTGACCCCAGTTTGGGAGTCAACTCTTTTCCCATAGCTGGGACCCTAACAGGTGCTACCACCCCGGGTCAGGGTGGACCTAGGAACACCAGCAATTAAAATGTTGTTCCACGCTCCGCAAAATCTCCTAATCAGAGGCCTTGCTGTTGGATGTAGTTTATCGTCTTACCCAGGATGCGGATGTAGTTTATCCTCATACCAAGGACGCGGATGTAATTTATTGCCATACCCAGGACGCGGATGTAGTTTATTGTCTTACCCAGGACGCGGATACAGTTCATCGTCTTACTCAGGAAGCGGATGTAATTTATTGCCATACCCAGGACGCGGATGTAGTCTACCGTCTTACCCCGGACGCGGATATAGTTTATCGCCTTACCCAGGAAGCGGATGTATTTTATCGTCTTACACAGGACGGAACATCAGGTTTAGTTTTTCCTTCTTTTCATTTCACTTTTATGTCATTCATCACTTTCAAAATGTCGTAACCCTTCTAGGATTGCATTTTAATTTCGTCCACATTCACGTGTGTTTCCATTATTGTGTTACATAAAAGACCTTTTTTTTAATCTCATACATTTTCAGATAAACAAGTAAAAACATGTTTAATAATTAGTTTTTAAGTTTTATTTTAATTTTCTTTCCATGCACGCCTACAAGAGATCCCTTTTTTTTTTAGATATAGAGCGTGTAAGAACTGTCCAAATGATCTTCAAATCCGAGCTTTTCTGGGGAATTTTGTAGCAATAAAAAATATTTTAACTCGCGTGTCCCAAAAAAGAAAGCTCTTTTTCGAACACAAGAAAAAATTAAATAAATGCTTAACCGTAGTACCTTGTCTGTCGTTTTTAATGAAACATGCATAAATGAAGGTTTGCTGCCTAAACACACACACACAAACACACAGACACACACACACACACACACACACACACACACACATATATATATATATATATATATATATATATATACAGTAGCGGACATAATATAAGGAACGGAAACAACAAAGACATAAATATGTGTATTAAATGTGTATAAAATTTCCATAATAGTTTTTTTTAAATAAAGATTAAATGGAACAAAGGAAATAAGCTACTGGACAAAAGTTAAGGAACGATCTTGTTAATATTTGATTGTGAACAAAATATCA